GGGGGGTTGGCGGCTGGCGGTGAGTAGAGGGGAAAAAAGGGCCAGTAAAACAAAGAGAGGTTGTCTGCAGGCGAGGCAGGCAGGAAACGCAAGTCTCCCAGGACTCTCCCCCAGTCACTGCTCCTTGGCTATCCTGCCGGCCCACACCAGATTGAACCTGACAGCCCTGCTGAGCCACGGCAGCCCGCTTGTTATTTGTCCCTCCTCTCTCTCTTTTTGTCTTTCTCTATATTACACTCTCCTTCTTTCATTCTTTTGATCATATTGTAATTTATTCACTTTACTTTTGCTTTGCTGTGACCTCATATCCTTTATTTTACTTTAACCATATGTTTTTTTCACCGTTACGTGTACTGTCTTGCACTTTTACTCCGTTTTGAATATCCCAGTACCTCTCTTGTTGACTGCTGACAGGAATAGGCATTTGCTGAAATGTCAGGGATTAAAGTTGAAAAGTTAGATATTAGCAAAGAGATCAAGACGTCCCTGAGCAGCAGGAAGCTTTCCTATTGGTGGATATTCTGCCTGTAAGGAAAGGGAAAACAAGGCAACAAAACATCCTTTGAAAGTAGCACAAGACACATAATTGGATTTGAAGTGTTTTTACATTTTCATTGGTGGATTATGAAATGAGTAAAACAATAAAACACTTGTGTCGCAGGTTACCAGGCAAACTTTGTTGTTATGTTTGCAGAGAGATTTGGATCTAGAGTTGAGTTGTGCTGAATGGAGAAATAAGGAGTTTCATTTTGTGCATTTTATCATTTGTTGTTGATGTCAGGATAACCAACATGTCAATATGTTGTGATCCACACGAGGGCAGTATTGCACAGTGTTTAGAGATCACCATACATGAAGTGGAAGCTGATGGTGAATTTGATGTCACTGGATTTTCCTCTGGTGTGGCTGTATGAGGTTATACTGGTCAAGATGGCACACAAAGCCCAAATGGGTTGTTGTAGTAAAGATGACCACCTATTTGTTTCCGACACTGCTAAGAATGGCACACTCACAATAAGTAATTTACAGTGTTTTGCATACCTAATTGATAGACCTGAATTGATAGTTTAAATAAATAGATTAACCATCACAAAATTAACATGAATAACTACACATTTTTGTTGAATAAAGAGATTTTATATATTAGTAAATGTGCTTGTTTTTCAGTGATTGATAGCTTGTCAGCATGTGAGTTATTTGAATGCACTAGTTAAAACATAATGGAGAGTAATTTGCAAACACATAAATATTCATGTTTGGCAAAAAAACACCTACACACACAAATACACACACATAATGCATTTATAGTGTGGCAGCAGCACCCTCACTCACTTTAGAAATGTCAAAACATATCAATCTAATGATCGATTGAGATAATTAATCATGCATATTATGTAAAACACAATGCTACATTTTTTATGTCGGAGATAAGGACCTGATGCTCTTTATTAGCAACGCCATATTTCGTATTTGCACAGGTTTTTCACTGGCCAGTTGTGGCCTAATACAATTTGGTGTCCATTTTGTTGCATCAGGAATGAGTCTTGCTCTTTCTCTGAGATTTTCCAATCTAAGGATTTCAATTTACTAAATCTAAGGATTCAAACTGCCAACTCCGATTGTCAATAACCCTTCTTGTCAAAAATTCCACCTACAATGATGGGAAATGGGATTGCCTCTTGACCTTCTAACAGCTTGCTTATCGTAGCAACAACCTCTGTCATCACCATTACACTGTCTCTATCTGCACCCCTCTGGGAGAAACACTGCTGACAAAGAGATTTGCGATCATGATAACACTATGAATAGTATGTTCCACACAATACAGGGTGTTAAATCTGGCTACAATATGCATCGTATTTCCCTGTGTTCTGGCAATTTTATAAACTGTATTAGCCCGCAATAATCCAGACCATCGAGGGTGCTGGCCAGATGCACTGTGAGTATACCAGGGTGTTTTTGAGACATTGCCAGGGGAAGAATACATCCCCTGTTTTATCTGCTTGTGTCAGAGTGATTGATTGTTACTGGAAGCAGTCCAGCTTCACACTCAGTCAGGTTTTAACCGCAGACACATAGCAGGTAGAACCCATACAAACTGGGCCAGTTTGGCTGTTTGTCAAGGTCTCATAAAATCAGCCTGTGTAGGGAAATGGAATATCATGTGCATACAATACATGTATTGTGTGCCTCTGTTGTCCTGTTGTACGATAGTTTGCACCAGTCCCTGAATTTGTGGTGAGTGTTGCAAGCTGCTCAACCAACTGTACTCTGTCAAAGATTGTGCCATCTACATTTAAACCAACACAGCTTGCCAAACAAAACCACATTACTATGTCCAGATATCCTGTGAAAAGCATCTTGAACCATGTTTTGATAGATTTATTGATGCCATTTGGCACTGGGGTCCCTGTTTTTGCTTTCGCAGTGGCAGTCCTGTGATAGGCTGGCACACAATAAAGATAAACTGTGTCTTTCCTCTTTTCTTCTCTTTGTCAGACCCTTCATATGATGCTGTACGGCGGACAGGATGGTCAAACAACATGCACAGTGGCAAAGGTAAGGACACAAAAGTCATTTAAAGTCCTTATGCATTTTTGACTGGAACATAAGGTTAAGTATGCATGGCTGTAACCTACTGAGGAAGGGCGTGATTCCTCGTTTTACCTACTGTGGTGAACTTTATCTTTGTATTCTATGCATGTTAAAAAACACCCAGATAATTTGCAAATGCTTTTTAACCTACGCTGACATCCCCCTAGAGGCAGCTCCAGCATCCACAGAGACGTGTGGGACAAACTCCTACAGATTAGAGATTAGAACATAAAGAGACATTCAAACAAAAGTCATTCCAGCCACCAACTACTGCTTTCTTTACTTTGCACCGCTGCAGATGTGCTTTCAAGTTGTGTAGCCTAGTTATCTGTAGCCACCCTACTGATGTTGTCTCTGAACCTTTTTTATGTCTCTCTCTCTCTGTCTCTGTCTTGTCCGCCACTGATTGCCTCTCTCTCTCTCTCTACAGGCTCACCAGTGGTTACTCAGAATGTGACCAAGTCCACTGAGCAGCCCAGAGCTCAGCCAGGTAATGGCATACATATTTATATATGTAGTATCAATATAAAATTAAACCACAACAGTCAGCACAAAGCTAACAAAGCCAGCTTAAAGATAATTTGTTAGCATTTGTATCAGTTTCCGTTTGTGGCAGTTGACTTGTTAAAATCCTCAAAAAAGTGTAAAACAATTGTTTACAAGTGGTTCACCAGCAATTTGATAATGGACTGTTTGGAAGTCTACCAAGAAGCTTCGAGTGTTTACTAGTGTTTGTAGTGTTTTTCCTTACCTCTCAGGCACACATCTATTAGCATGTGTAATTGGTTTTCGTGGTCAACTCATTATTCAGAGGGTGTGCAGAGCACAATAATCCAAACACACTAAAACTGCAGCTCATAATGCTCTCTCATTTTGGTCAGTGTTTTGTATATTTTGCTTTATTTACTCAACTTGAAATGTGATATTATAAGCATAGGTAATAAAGATGAAATTTTAAATTCATTAAATTGCATTATCTCAACGACACTATTATTCAGGCTTCCATACTAATTTGTATGGTTCACATACCATTATATCACCACAGCAAAGCTTGTAGATTAACAATGCTCTCCTTTTGTCCACAGATCCTTACCAGATTCTGGGTCCCACTAGTAGTCGCCTAGCCAATCCAGGTACAATTCTAAGAAAGCTCAGGTCTTTATAACGCATTTGTTGTGAAGCCAGATGTTGTGAGCCTCATTCTAAAAAATGTTCTTTTATGCAGGTCTCACTGGTTAGATAATGAGCTGTTGGGCTGTGAACAGTGAATAATTAGCTCTTAGTTGGAAGAGGCTGTGTCTCTGACTGTTTTTCTCTTCATCAGGTTCAGGTCAGATCCAACTGTGGCAGTTCCTTCTGGAGCTCCTGTCTGACAGTGCCAACGCTGGCTGCATCACCTGGGAGGGAACCAACGGCGAGTTCAAGATGACGGACCCGGATGAAGTGGCACGGCGCTGGGGTGAGCGTAAGAGCAAGCCCAACATGAACTACGACAAGCTGAGCCGCGCGCTGCGCTACTACTACGACAAAAATATCATGACCAAGGTGCATGGCAAGCGCTACGCCTACAAGTTCGACTTCCACGGTATTGCTCAGGCACTGCAGCCGCACCCCACCGAGTCCTCCATGTATAAGTACCCCTCGGACCTAGCCTATGTACCTTCCTACCACGCCCACCAGCAGAAGGTCAACTTTGTATCACCACACCCTCCATCCATGCCTGTCACCTCCTCCAATTTCTTTGGACCCACTGCTCCATACTGGAGTTCACCCACTGCAGGAATCTACCCCAACCCAAATGTTCCTCGCCACCCAAACACCCACGTGCCGTCCCACCTGGGTAGTTACTATTAGACACCCCACTCTGACGCCCTACGACCCTCTTAAACCTCCCTTGTCCCACAATTGCTGACCTGCACTCCTAATGATGCCGAACCAATGAAGACTGAGTTAATAGAGGCATTTGTCCTCTGAAGAAATCCTAAATGAAGGATGGTCAAAATTGAAGAAGATCTTTTTTTATTTCTAAGAATTGATAAACAACTGGATGCTATGCTCCAAAATGGAATACTACTTATCTTTACAAGACTAGCAATTGTTTGTATATGTTTTTTGGACATGCGTCTGAGTTTCCTGTGCCTTTCTCTTTCCCATCCTCCAGAAAGCTGCACCTACTGGTGTCCTTTCCAAAACCTTCCAAAAACAAAGCCCGTGGACAGGGAGAACAACTCGAGTCTGTGTGTCTCCTCACCACGCTACAGTACCAGACATGGGCCTATTATTTATGGGTCTCAATCTACATCCTCCTCAGTACATTATATACATTATGCTTCAAAGCATCGGCCTTTTCCGCTCGTCTACAGCCATGTCAGGGTTTCTTATTCCCACCACATCTAGCCTTCTGTTTCCACTGTCTCCCTCTGCTCATCTGTCCATCTGCATCTTTTTATGTGTGTGTGGAGAGTCTTCTGGAATTCGCTGGACAAGGAGGAGCTCTCAAAGAGATGGACTTTTCTCAGCACTGAATGAAATTTGGCAACTGGAATATGCCATTCACAATTTAATTTATCCTCCAAACTGGAAGGCTAGAGAAGAGTTAAATGCTGGAGAAGGAAGCGCTGTATGTTTTGCTGACCTGGGTCAAATCGGTTACTTAAAATTTTTTCTGTGTGTTGTGTGTGGAGTTCAACAACATGTACAGTTGACTCGACTGTGCTGGGGAAGCTGAGTCAACATGTAATTGAAGTAATTTGCAACAATAATTCCACCCAGGTCAGATGTTTTCAGGGGGCCACACACTAGGCTATCCAATGTTTGCCATGTTGTTGCCTTTCAGCCATGCCATTTCCAGATGTTTTGTCGCTCGACCATGTCAGTATTAATGTGAATGTCTTCTGGTTTGTGAAATGCGTAAAAAGGGATACCCTGCAGCAAAATCAAAATTTGTCAGATGTTTTCATTTAGTTTTAGTTAAAAAAAAAAAATCCTTTATTTTTAACACCATTTTTGCTGCACACATCTGAATCTAAAACATGAACGTGCCTATCTCTTTTTGCAGAATAAGACTGAATATTGTTTGGATGTCTTTTTTATCCAAAGTGCCTTACAGTGCCATGAGTGCATCCGATTTTATTATATGGCATAATAAGAAACCTAACCCTCACAGTGCCTTAACTGCTGTTTTATACCATATATTTTCTATTATAGATGGAACAGCATTACATCCTTAAATACATAGCATACATAATCATCATCTCCATGTCATCACCAGGAATCTGACAATTTTTGATTTTGAAGTGCCACGCTGTCTCCTTCCTCTTTGTAGGCCAGTCAGGACCGTATAGGTCAGCACAGAGAAGTGGCTTAGCAATAAGTCATGTTAATAGACAGTTAGGTTGCATTTTACCAGGGCTGGATCCTAGTTTGAGAGCAGCATGTGTGTCTGAATGTTAGTTTCTCACTGATCTAAAGCCCAGCAAAATGCACGTGAATCTCAAGTCAGGATTTCATCATCATGTAACAGTATTGTGTCAAAACATATCCATCTTCAGGTGTTCAAAGCTGTTAATAGCAAAAGTATTCCTTTTGAAAATAAATTACTTGGGACTAAGTAGTTTATCCGAGAACAAAACCAACAAAGTATGACGAGATGAAACAAAGAAATCCTCAGATTCGCAAACGCTGTGCGTTTGTCAGACCTATTTTTTATTATTTTATAAGCATCAGACAACTAGGCATTAAAGCAACTTACTGTATAAATTATGCAGAGTTATTTTCATATGTGACACAGTATAAAAAGTCAAGAGAATTAATACGAGTTGACCTCGGTCAAAAATGCAAACCTTTAAAGTCCATTTCTGCTAAGTAGTTTGTTCAGCATTTTTAAGCGTTTTTATATCTGTACATTTGGGCAATACATTTTAACATTTTTATTTTCTTTTAATTGTTATTATTTCTGAAATTCGGCTGTAACATCCTGAGTGCCTTTATGCACACAAGGTATTTTCTTGTATCCCCAAAACCACAAGTGCCTGCTTGAATCATAATCCAATAGCCAGGGATTCCTTTACTCTATATGCAACATGTGATTATGATGGTTCTTTTCCATTGTGAATCACCTTTTATGCCAAATGGCCCTGGAATTGGTGGCTTTTCCTGTGCATTAAAGAATTTCAGGTATTTTATGCAAAATAATACAAACAGTATTAATATCCACAACCAGCTTCTCCGGAAAAATTATAGCTTTAAAAACAACAAATAAAGAGGGAACATGTAATTTGTAGCATAAAGAAATTATTCAAATGTACCCTTACTTTCCATGTTTCACAAGCATTATCAATGAAAAGGGATCTGTGCTACTTCGTATATGCAATGTATTTTGGATATCAAATATATATATATATGTGTATAATTTTACAATTAACCAATGTATTATTATTATTGTCATTCCTGCAATGTATGAAGTAATACCTTTTGAAAAAGGACTTTTGTATAGGAAAATGTGACAAAATAAATGTTTTTACCTCTCATACCATTCTTCCATTGCCTGAATACTGGGACATATAAAAACAAGCAAGTGAGTTGCACATTTTGTACAATACTTGATCATCGTGTCAAAGTTGGACACACTATTTCACCTCAATTGTGTTACAACTCATTACACGTTATAAGTGTGCATTATTACTTAGCCTATTAAGGGAACAGTAATGCTTTTACATTTGTTTATTGCATAAACAAATGTCCTTTTTCTCCAGCAGATAGAAAACAGCTTTTTGCCCCACACAAAACATCCTTACACTCTCTCTTTCCTTCACATGTGTTTTACAGAAAGATAAAGTAGCTGTTACAGTTTGTAGTTAGACAATGGTCTAATAGTCCTGCGATAAATTCTACCTTCATGATGGGTTTCAGTTTTTTTTAAACTGTTGATCTTGATTTAACTTTATGATCATTTTTGATAACCAGAGCTATAATTGTGGTGGTGATGTTATTATATGTTTATATTGCATTATACTTAGATGTGTTTCAACTATTTGGTCCACCCTCATTACCAGATATTAATGACAGTATTTATTAGCTGTACCTGACAAACCAGCAGTTTTGAATCAGCAGGTTATACAAAGCCACAAGCTGTGACTGGACTGGGTACATTAATTTAATGTTAGCATTTGACTTTTTATGTCATTTACTTCTCTTTTTGAACACAGCTTCAGATGATAGGTGGTGGCAATTTAACAACCAGTCTGCATACATGGTGTCTGTGTTAAGACAGCTACTGCCTTGTAAAGTGCTCTGTTAGTTTGCATGAACCATGTAGACAAAAAGATGTATCATAGACACAGTGAAAAGCTAGCAAGGGACAGCTGTGGACTAAATATAATTGTAAGGCATGTATCATCTTTATGCTGCTTAGTAATTCTGCATATGTGTAAATAATATTCATAATCTTTAACATTATCAATTGCTACAACAAAATCTCTTGGTGCAGACACACACACATTAGACTCTAAGCGTCTGGTCAGTGGCTGGTCCACCTTACCAAAACCTGTTGAATCTTCATGCTAATATATGTGCTGCTATTTCCCTAAATGGAGAGTTCTGGTTTCATGTTCAGAACGTGCAGGCAAAATAATGGGCAGTAAGCAACATCTCTCATCTCCCAAACACTTCCACTCTGTTGTGTTTGGATCCATGTTTGGTGTCACAACTTCACTTTGTTTACAGAGGAAAAGCTGTGATAGGGGTTGGCACCTGTCATTACGTTGCTTTGACCTTTTTGATCACAGTCCCTATGTGACGTTCCGGTTCAGAAAGTAATACGACAATGCAGACATTTTTTTTAAATGCAAAAATAGCCTTTATTTCAGTGTATTTTCCCCCTAAGATCAAATCGAAAATGACTTAACAAACAGAACTGATTTTCCTACTATGTTCAGCCATATTTTAAGTGTTTCATGAGAGCTTTGTTCTCTCACAGTGTCTTCACTTAGGAAGGAAAGAAACAACTACATCACCCACTTTTTAAAAAGAGTGGCCCCTGAGCCCGACCCTTTGCTAGTGCCTCAATAGCCGAACTCTAATGGTTCAAGTCCAAGTGTCTCTCAGCCTAAAGCAGCATAAATTAATAATAACAACCACTTTAGCTTTTTCTCACCCATGACAATAGCATGACCCCCCAACACTGGTCCTTCAAGTAATTGTAAGATTTACACACATTATAAAATATATGCCTTGTTGCCTGCCTCTGGATACTTGGTAAACCCACATTTGCAACGGCAATTAGACTCACTCCATCTTCATTTAAAGAAAGATCGTATATGTATAGTCCATGTGTGAGTAATTGGGAGAAGTTTGTTTTTCTGTTCTTGAATTGCAGCTTCACCATCTTACGTGACCTGGCCTCCCTTTTTAAAAACAGGTTTTTGGTCAGTAGACAGTTACAGGTGTGGTTTTACATACAAATGGTTCATAATTGTCCTGACCCACAGGCGGCTTTCTTATCTGTGTTGAACACAATAGAATAACAAATAAGTAGGTTTACTTTACTTCATATTTAAATGCCACACAATGTGCTGTCTGCCATTAGGTAACTACACCTGCATCCAGCAACTGTTTGTTCTGAGTCTTGAGGTGTTTATCAGTGAGAGATACAAGCCTCTATCATTCTCAGTTTTACTGTTCACTGCAATGTATCCATCCGCTCACATTTTGGTGACATTTGGGGGATCATTGATATCGATCACCTCGAAGCCCTGGTTATCATGTCCATCTCTGGAATGGTGGTGATGACCCTTGATGTTGTGGAAACAGTAGGCACAATGTGCAGTGGCTACTGGCACCACCTTGGAGAAGTTGGAGAAATCTACTCTGTACTTGCCCTCCTTGCTTCTGGAAATGATGGGCAAGAAGTTGTAGCCCCACATGACCTCGTGAGGAATAAAAGAGGTCCGGACTTGGCAGGTAGAGCTGGTGGACTCTGCGGTGCCATCTAGGAAGACCACCAGCTCAAACTCCTCTTTGTGGAGCGTGTCCACTGCCATCTCAAAGAAGGGACTGCTCTTGTCGATGACATGGTAGAGTGTGAGAGGGCATATAAAGAAGAGGTTGTCTTTCCCAGCATCCATCATAAAGTCAATGTTTACTTGGTCCATGATGATTGTCTCCCCATCTGGTGTGACTGTTGTCCTTAGCAGCTTGCCATAGATCTGGCTTCCAATCATCAGGGTCTTGCGTAAGTTTGCCACCCTGATTGACAGGCAAAGAGAGCCATTTTTGGGGCTGATGACAGCCATGTCACTAAATGTGATGGTCTTAGCCCTCTTTTTGGGTAAAGAGATTTTGGACAGGATGACGCCACACATGAAGCAGTTGATAATGGCTCCGAGAAGGGACTGAATAATGAGAAGAGCCAGAGCACCTGGACATAAAGGGGTGAGTGCTCGGCCACCATATCCAATAGTTGTCTGGGTTTCAAGAGAGTAGAGAAACGCTGTGGTCAGTCCATTAACATTATCAACACATGGAGTGTGCTTTAATTCGGGATTTTGCCACGTCAGATCTCCGTTACTGCGGGCAATCCAGTACCACAGCAGGCCAAAAATGAACCAGCTGAGGGTGAAAGAGGCGATGAAGAGTAAGAGGACAAAACGCCACCGGATCTCCACAAACGTGGTCCAGAAGTCAGCCAGAAAGGCAAAGTGATTGCTGTACTGGATGTTTCCATATTCAATGTTGCAGCGACCATCTTTCGTCACTAATCTGTTCCTGCGGTATCTTCGGTCCGCCAGCCAGTCCTGGATGCGTTTGTTCATAAACCCAAACATTTTCTAGAAGCCCACACCCTATATGACAATGAAACAGGGATATAGCATGTAAGTATATAGTAGAAAACTCATCACCAAGCAGGTGTGTGTGTAAACATTTACTTATAATTTCCTTAATGACAATGCAGTCATAAACAACTACAGGAATACAAACAGTACTGACAAGCTAACTTGTCCTAGCAGATGAAACTTTGGCTCAAACTAATTTTTTAAAACCCCAGAAATGTAAAAGCGAGGATAAGTTAGTACTTATTGTTCCAATAAGGATAAATAATTTACTGCTCTTCCCAGATATCTGATTCTCACTGTGGACTGCTTATGCACAGTCTCACATGTTCCAAGCTACTCTCTCGCTGCAGCTTTAATCCTCACTGAAAGGCTATAATCCTGGGTGGATGCAGCACTGCAGTAAAGACATGAAGTTAATGAGAAACAAAAGTTTCTGAACTGTAACACATAGGGCTCCAAGTAAACCAAATAATTTGGGATCTTTGGTCCCATGCAAGTGTCTCAACACAAGGATCAGCTTTGTTTGCTCGGTTTCAATGCTACAAAAATAAACGTGGCATTAAAATAATTTGTGCAAACCCAGCCAGAAGGCCAGCTGCTCATAGACATAACAATCTTTGACTTTATTTTAGCTCTGAGTTCTCATAAGTCTGGTGCTTGATGGATGGCAACTGGCAGTATTAGCTATACAGAGGTTTCCAAATAAGTATGGCCTCTGTTCTTGCCAAGTCATGCAAACTACCCATTTGGATCATGGCGTGCTTGTTAGTGAGTGTGAAGTAGTACAAAACGATCAGTGCAGTGAGTTAATGTTTTTGTTTTCAACCATCAAAGCTCACATCCAGTCATTTTGCCAAAAGAAATCTGATAATCACACCGTAGAGCTTGTTTGCAGACTTTCATCCCTTTAGAAGTAAACCTAGTCATTCTACACCTAATCATTAGATCAGTCTGTTTTCATACTGTAAGAAGATATGTGCTGGAATGATTTCAGGTGTTTAGCATTTTAATTGTGTGTATGACAAGTTACTCAAAATTATTGCTTTGCATTACAAAACAACTACCTTTATAAATGCAAATTGCCAGTGGGAACAAACCCTCCTCTTGAGGACCATCCACAACATACTGGACATAAAACTTTAAATCTGAAAGGCCTTTACTGCCATGACTCAGAGTCAAAGAATAATCAGTTAAAATCACAGTTAAAATTTAATAAATCAGTCAAATCATTTCAAGATTAGCAATCCATGAATGCAGGGGTATTTGTGAGGACAAGCACATTTTTAGAATTGCATTTGACTTTTTTGTTTCATTGACCCACTCTAATATGAATAACTATTTAATCATACTAGAAAAAGCTAAAACAACTAACTAAAAAAAGAAGACAATAGGCTAGAGAAGTAATAGTGCTGCCTCTGTTGCATTAATTACTATTATCACAGATTATCAATATTTGACTATAACTTGTATTAAGTGTCCATTATAATGCTGTATAAAACTATTTTAGGCTCAGTCTAATATGAGTTAATGAACTACTATTTTCTACTTTCATTATTTGCATCATTAAAGTGGCTTGTGACTGTAACATAATTCCAACTACAGCAGGGATTTAGCAATACTTTTGATTTAAAAGGGAAATTACTGGAATAAGACTCTAATTAGTCCTGACTCTTTATTTTTAGTAAATGCATTATTTTGTCAATGAGGTACAAACCAGCTTCATGAGCTAATATATAAAGTTAAAAAAAAAAAAAAAATTACCAATCAATTTATTTGTAGCCTCTTTCCTTTATATGTATTTTATAAAACAGTCACAGTGAAAACTTATTCCCTATGAAATGAAATGAACTACTCACACCAGTGCTAACAATATCCTTTCAACAATGTTGTCATCACTGGGAAAAAAAGGTCATGAAAGTGAACTTTCTTCAGTCCAAACTCACCTATAAAAATTGAAGATGAAGTAGTTAGATGCACATCCAGAGGTTAATGAATAACAAACTCCAGCGGGACCTTCTTTCCTCTTCGTCTGTCTTTCTTGTTCACAGTTGATTGTAACAGTTTAGGTGTGTCCTCCCCTTATACCAACACCTGTACCTTTATACTGTCCTGTTTCTGTGTGCTGGAATCAGCCAGGTGATGTTTACGCCCACAGAGACATCAAGTACCCCTCCGCCCACAGACGCCTGGCACCAAGGGCCGCGCTGACCTCTATCTGCCACACCCCCAGTTCACTACAGTCTATCAGTTGCTCTTGATTTACTGTTGATTCTATTTTGTGATATTTGAATTTGAGCTTTTTCACAGTTGGATTCACTCTAGAAAAAAAAGCCAAATGAATACTGACAGTGTAAAAGTAAAACCTGCATGTACTGTATCTGTGTATGGTTCCAGTTCTCTGCGTCTCAGTGACGAACACACTGCGTGGCATTATTTACTGTAGACACACACACACGCACACTCACACTTTTATTGGCATGTTGTAGGGAAATAATAATTTTATTTTTCTCCAGTTCTTGCCAGTGTTCGGCAGGTGCAGGATTGCATGTCTGAATATGTGACCTGCAAGGATGATTAGAATCGTTAACACTTTACATCTTCTCATTGCCTGATATTAACATGATAACAATCTTGCCCTTGGAATACTGTGTGTTCATGATAGAAAAAAGCACAAAACTCACTTTTGTTTATGCATGAGTTCCTCCACTGCTTTGAAAATTATGACCATAAGAATGTGTTTAACACATTCCCGGGCACAGTGTTGTCACCATGAATCAAACATCAGTGCTTCACAGCTCAGCACAGCACAGTCGTCTTCCTCCAAGCAACAAACAATTTCTCCCCTCCACCTAGGGCTGTGTTGTGATGAAATATGGGGACCATAGAATAAATAGGTTATAGGGTGAGACAACAGAAGCAGCTGAGATGAAAAAGACAATGTTCAAAATCCAAACAGATCGCTCTGTCTGGGGTCGGCCAGGAATCAAATCAGTCCATGGGCCGAAGATGTTCTGAATGCTGAAGAGAGAAAAGTTGTGAATTGTGATGGGTGTCGTTTTTCAGCTCTATTGTTCCAAGCAAGAGTTACGGAAAAGGCCGCAGTATTACCTTTCATGCTGCAGAATGTGTATTCTATTGACAGCCACAATACTTTACTGTTGACACACAACAAGATTAGGCTTGCCTGCTTTCTTCTAAATCCATGCTATTGTAAAAGGATGACAAATTTTTTGTAAATAAGCATTTTTTTATTCAAGAGGTGATTTACCTGTTTGTTTAATCAACTCCCTCTTTTTTAATCCTTTTTGTATCTGACAAAAGGCCAGAGAATAGCTACCAGACCACACAGCTGCATTGATTGTTGGGCTGGTTTAGCAACCTAAGAGCTATAGAGGCCAACAAAATTTGAGACAATTGCTACCAATATGAATGTGAATATGAATAATAATGACAACACAACAACCACTAATAAGTTCTCCACATAGGGTGATGCCGTTTTACTCCACATAGGGTGATGCTGTTTTAATACTTGACAGTAGAAATATCAGAATAAATAACTAATTGCTCATTTCATCAGATCACAGACATTGAAATTTAGTGACCTTGATGAATAATATGCTAGAAAGTACAAAACTAATAATAACATGTTCAAAAACAGTGTAATAAGCAGGTATATAGGCGTGGTTTGTGGATGTGCAACACATCGTCTTGTTGAAAATTTTGTCAGTCAGAATCTATGAAGTGAAATAATAAGCCAAACTCTCAATTAAATTAACAAATAATTATTGAGAGGATTAAATACTGCATTAATGTATAAATATACAATATACAATATGCAATATGGGGGTGGCAGTAGCTCAGTCTGTAGGGACTTGGCTTGGGAGCCGGAGGGCCGCCGGTTCAAGTCCCTCAGACCACAAAATATGGATAACTAGATGTCTCAAAGTGATAAAAAACAATGGCAGTTTCTCTCCGCATCAATTGGAGCACTCAATTGAATAATGCTGGTTTCTGTATCAGTTTCTGTCAATTAGCTTTGGTGGCAAGAATTTACCAGCAGTCAGTTGGTATAGCCTGCCAAGCTTCATTGCCTATGAGGTTATAAGTACAGCAACAAAAAGATAACAGATAAACAGATAGACACGTCTCTACTTGTTCGCTCTGCTTATACATACGAGATTAAACACCTTTTGCATGTCTTAATCTACAGATTACCTTTCAAATTAGCTTTCACTGTTTAACAAATGATATGATATGCAAATGTATTTGTACAAAGATAAACCTGATTTATTTTAACTAAATAAAATATTATTCTGATCACTTGGGGGCAGCACAAACACGCTGTGGACAACACTGACATATTATCATCTTTTAAATTAGCAAACTTGTTAGCCCGCAGTTGCTCGTTTTCGTTTTTGTCGTTTTTTGTTTTTCGTCCTTTTGATAGCCAAACCCAGACGTGGGAGGAATATTGTGAAGTGCTCCATCATTTTTTTGAAGCTAATGAGATCGACGATGCAGGTCGACGCAAAGCTATCTTGCTCAGTTCAGTGGGCAGTCAGACTTACAGCCTAATGAGGAACTTAGTCAGCCCCGCCAAGCCAGGAGACAAGACGTTTGATGAACTTGTCAAGTTGTTAAAGGACCATTTCAACCCCAAACCCAGCGAGATTGTGCAGCGTTTCAAGTTTAATTCCAGAAACAGAAAGCATGGAGAAACAGTGATGGAATATGTTGCTGTTCTGAGGAAATTAGCACAAGACTGCAACTATGGAGACAAATTATCAGAGATGATACGTGACAGACTGGTCTGTGGCATCGGAGATGACCGCATACAGCGCCGACTGTTGTCTGAGCCGGATTTGAGTGACCTTTTCGATCAACGAACGAGCTGAGCTTGGAGGAACAGCGCAAAGATGTAAGGACTTAAAACTCTGGAGTTTGATCACACGATGAGGGCATCAAAGCAGTTGCGACATGTAACAGCCTCC